TACAACATTTGAATATTGCTTGAACATAAAGTATGTGAATTTAAAATAGACCAATTAGTATCTAGAATGGGACTTCTCTAAATAGCAGCATTGTTAGAAACTGCCTTAGTTGAAGCTATACAAATTTAAGCAATATTAGCTTGTATCCCGTGAGCTTCGGCCACTCCAAATAAGGCCATGGCTATGCCAGTCTAAACCATGCTAATAGAAGTAGCATAGAGTGTCGTCACTTCAGCTCTAGTCATACAAGCCTAGGCTACATCAATAGAGGTAATATTAGGCTAGATTATATGGACTTGGGCCACATTGGCTTAGACTATACTATCCAAGGGTGTGCTAGTCAAGGCCATATTATCTTGAGGCATATCAACAAGGTTTGTACTAGCCTAGATAGTAGCTAAGTAAGTTTGTTCCAAAAGATCGTGATAAAGAATTAAAAGATAATACTACCAATTTATGATTTAACAAGAACAATAAAGAAAAGACAAAAGATAAATTGTTCACTTGATGTGGAAGATGTAGCATGGTAGCTTTGATAGTGGATAAAGAACTGTTGTTGTACTTGAGATGGTTATAAGCTTGAAGTTCCTTGTGATCATCAAGAAAGGCTAAGAAACCATTACGATTTAAAGCTTGGACTAGAACCAAGATAGTATAGTAAGGAATATACAATGTTTTACAAATTGGCACAATGAAGCTAGGTGTGGAAAGTATCTACACATAGGTCGAGGTAGTAGGTATATTGGATAAAAGATCTGAATTGATAACCATGACCTACAAGAACTTGGGGTTGATAAACGCAAAGTAGGGTGAAGGTCGATCAGCAACTACAAAGCATTGATGATTTGTAATAGATTTTGCAGTAGTTCTTGCAATGCAAGAGTGGAGGTAACTTGCAATTAAGCAAGGTGTAAAATCATTATAACGAATGTGGACGTGAGATGTAGTGAGGTGGTTATTAGGCATCAATAGTTATTATTATATATGTGAGGTAAAAAAGCTGATGGTAAAACTCCTTCATCAAAAGAATATAGATTGTTTTGTTTAGAGATTGAAAAATAATAAACCACATTAGTCCAAGGTAATTTATTATTGATAATATAGATATTCCTAATAAATTTAATTTTTGTGTGTTTAGTGTTAGTGATTTGAGTCATTGATAGAAGATTCTTTTTTAATCCTAAAATATATAAAATATCAAAAACTTATATATATATATATATATATATTGATCAAATTTAAGTTACAAAATGATAGATTTAATGCTTTGAGCAATATGAAAACTATTATCTTCTAATAAAACAAGTTTTGGTGTGGTGAATGGAGTATAGTTGTTGAAAAGGTTTCTTAAAGGAGGCATGTGATTATTAGCTCTAAAATCCAAATACCACAATTGGCTAAGAATATTAATAGGTACTACCATAAATAAGTATAATGGTGCCTCTAAAATATAAGAGCTTACAAGTTTTGATTTGTTCATTTCATCTCTTTATTTCTTATGACATTTTAGAGATTTGTATCTTTATTTTCTATAATAATGGCAAATGATATTTTTAGTTGGTGGATTGGAATGTCAAGCATAAAATGGTTTAGTATAATATTTTTGAAAAGAATTACCTTTCAATTTTAGAATGTGTAAGAGTCTATTATTCTTAACAAATTTTCTTTTTACATCAAAAGTATTAGTTTTAAAATTATCATATTTTGAACAATTGGTTGTTATTTTTTATAATATATTAAATAATATCATTGAAGAGATTAAATTATTAAGTGCACCTTGGATTGTAATGAATCTACTCGATGAATTAAGAAGAGCAATTAATAATAAATTGACTTGTTGTAATTCAATGAAAATACAACCGACAATAACAACTTTTTCAAGGACTTATTGCCAATTTTTTATGAATGCATAAACATCTTCATTCTTGTCTATAATTAAATGACAAAGCTTCTTGTGGAAATGTACCTAAGAAGCTTTATTTGATTGTTTATAAATACAATTGTTGTAATCTCAAACTACTTTTGATGTAGGTAGTTAGTGTAGTATCATAAGTTACTTATCTCTACAATGTAGAAGTATTTCTATACTAGCTTTGACATCCTTCAAACTCTAGGCATGATATTGCATTGAATTAAATGTATTGGATGCAACCTCAAAACCATTAACTACTATCTATAATACTAGTTGACTTAAGAAGGCCTCCAATTTAATACTCCAAGATTTCCACTTACACTAAATAAAATGAAGGTCAATTAGTGCTCTGAAACCATTCAAGAGAAAGAACACTAACAATGATAAAATAAAGCATGAAGAATATTAAAAATAACTTGATTACATCATATTCATAAGAGCCTTTATATTGTATTGTGGAGAGTAGTTGTAACTTCTCCATTACTTTGTAACTACCTAAAGATAATTCTACATTTACTAACATGGATTAATTAATCTAATATATATTACATATTAGTAAATTTAACAGTCGTCGTACCCAACCAGGCTGCCTGGGATAGATCTTGAATCCAGCTTGTTTCTGGTATGAGATCCGATATGTACGTGGGAAAGTGAACCAAAAAATTTGAGATGAGACAAGGTGGGTCGCTTACCCGAGAATCTTTCCTCAGGAGAAAGACTGGATTCGTTAACTTTAGGGTCCTATTAAGTATGTAGACAGAGGTCTTGGCTGCCTTCGGCCACAGCGAGGCTGGAATATGCCCTAAAATCAGCATGGTTCGGACCTTGTCGAGAATAGATCTGTTTCGCCTTTCTACGACCCTTTTCTGATGAGGGGTGTGGTCCTGTGTGAGCTGGCCGTCTATGCCATGAGCTGTAGTGAATGCTGAAAAGGCGGTGGAGAGGAATACTCCACCTCTATCCGTTCTTAACGTTTTGATCTGCTGGCCTGTTTGTTTTTTGATCATGTTTTTGAAATCACTGAACTTCTCATGAGCCTGACTCTTGTATTTTAGGAAGTAAATCCATATTTTCCTGCTGAAATTGTCTACCAGAAGTAAGAAGTATTTATTTCCTGCGATTGAAGGTACTGGAAGGGGTCCGCATATATCAGCATGAATCAGTTCTAAGATCTGAGTGCAACGTGAATTCGACTTACGGAGAGTGGTTTCTCTGGTTTGCTTTCCCATAGCACAGTGTTGACAAACTGTTGGCTTGACTGCAAACTTGGGTAACCCGTAGAGACTACCCTCAAAAACAATATTGGACAACGTTTAAAATTCGGAGTGGTTCTCGAGAAGGTGGGCATGAGTTTTGAATCGGCCTCCTTGTGATGGCACTGGAGCTGGTGCAGGACAACCCCGGGCTAGATGCCCGATTTTATGGCATCTATGACACTCTAATTCTTCCGTCCGTCACTGAAAAATATGACGGTCATAATGTCGGGGGCCGGGAAACATGCCTTGACGGTGTCGACCTCTGATCGCATTTCTGATGCGAAAAACCAGTGCCTCTTCATGTGGATCTAAACGTAGTCGTTGTTCAGTCTCTTCTCTCTGAAGTCGACTAGCAAGATTCGCCAAGGTAGGTGGTTTACTTTCATTTCAAATGATTCGTAACAGTGTTTCGAAACGTGGTGGTAAGATCTTCAGGATCTTGCGAACTATAACAATGTCGGATGGCAGTTGCTTTGCCTCCCTCAGATCATTGATGAGCTCGTAGACTACCTGTATGAAGGAAGCAACAGACATATTATCAGGCATTCTCGAATTTTCCCATTGATCCAGTGTGACAATAACATCTGCTATTGTTTGCGTGGAGTAGAACTCGGACAGCGCCTTCAATGCCTTTTGCCGGATCAGAGATCTGAGAGATGAGAGGTTTGACCATGTCGGTGAGAGACAAGCGCACGAACCCCATGGCCGTGGTCTCCCGTCTTCTTGTTTTGTCCTTGTCAATGGAGTCAAAACTTGTAGTGGCTGGAGCTACTGTCTTCCCTTTGCTATCGCGGGTCTCACTAGGTTCTACTGTCTCGAGGAGCTCTTCTCTCAAGTGAGCTGGGAGCACTACATTCCAGAGATCTTCTCTCCCTAAGACGCTCTGGAAGGTACTTCGCCATGCTTTAAAGTTTTCAGGGCCTACCACCGAGTCCATCTCACAGCCTCAACAGCAGACACAACTAGTATTATATTCTCAATCAACAACTCTATTGCCAACTCAGTGCACGCTCTGATACCATGTTACCAAGAATCAACCTCATCAAACAAGAAACAGTCCAGCCAATACAGGCATAAATTATTTTCCAGCCAGTACAGGCGTGGAATAATGAACTGTATTCGACGGCAATAACAGCTGTATAAGTACATCGCGTGTGCTACGTTCACAGCGATGAGAATTGTATAGGAACGTTAGGGGTAATGAACGTTAGGGATGATGTTCAATAAGCATCTCAAAGAACCCGACTCATCGATTCCCGTTTCATTCGTGCCGACAGAGGATTTACGTTGGCCAACTTTGAAGTGCTTTTCAAGATGGCTGAATTCTGAAGACTTAGAGCAGGGAACCTGTATGGTCACGACCTTCGATGAAGCGAATATCTACTTGCAGACCTGATCAGCATCTCGAGACAAGCTGGTCTCATTTCTCAGGGGGCAACCCCCGGGTCCCAGTAGATTGAGAGAAAACTTCGAATCAGATGCCTTTCTTCGCTACGATGACTGGTCATCCTCCTACTGGGTATTAATTCCGGACACATAGCATCGCAATTCCTGTCATCAACTAGGAATCAGTGCCGCAGCGTCCATCAAAATGTAGGCTTGGATTTCCCACATTAGTTCGTGGAGGTTCAAGTGGTGCTAGTTAACCACAAAATTAAGACTAAAATATAATCCTCGATTTTAGGTGTTCCTTACATTTCGTTCCTCCACATCCAACCTGAGTTTCCCCTCGAATAAACCACATGAATGTTTCCCGCATGCCATTAAAAAAGTTTTTTATATTTAGAAATGGACAAATAGAACATTGCCAACAAGGTGGAACATGCCTGTGATGTGTTTCAAGAAAAAATATATATTATTATTCTGTAATGTGTAGGAATGTCAAATCCATCCGACTTTGAAGGCCAATGTGAATTCGTTCTCATTAATGAGAACTCTAACCTATGTTAAAGCTTTACTCACCAGGATGTCACAAAATATTGACGTGCAGCCTATCCTATTGACAGTATTGATGTGTTAACAAAATGAACATAATCCCAAAGATAGCCAAGTGAACAATATAATACTTGTGTCACCATTCTATGCATACAAATCTTTAGACATGGCTACAAACACGACATAGGTGCCATCACTATTATAGTGATCCATGTAATAACCTGGAATGATTACTGCATCAAATGTGCCTCATTATCACGTAGTGGCCTCATTGAGATGACAAGAACTTGGAGCAAAAAGCCATCAGACCAAAGCGCCGCACACGCACAGGAATCGCATCAACATAGTTTCCTTCAAATCTCCAGCTTGGAAATACCACTCACTTTACCGGATCGGATGGTACTGTCCAGATAGCCGCTTCGGTGGCAACTTGCGCAAAATATACAGGACCAGAGCTGAAGGAACGATCTCCACAAGCTGCATTCATACGCGCAAAAAAAGACAGCATTACATTACAAAGATCAGTTCCAAGGTAAACAAAGTCATTTCCGCAAAGAAGCGTCTGCAACCTCAATTTGAAAAAGAAGGCGTCTTACCGTGTAGTATATAGCATTCAGGATTGGATGATACAGAACGTCCAAGTCAATAGCTTTGTTGAATACAGAGAAGGTCATCTGTCGAATCCGACCATGTCAGTACGACATCAACTTCACAAGAGTGCTCAAATTTCGTCTCATAGGAAAGTTCATAGAAAAGCTGCCATAACGAAACATCATCACATTGTCACGGGTTTCCACAAAAGGCACAGCAACTAGAGCTCCACAGAATCTTTGTGAACCCTTCCGATAGACACTTACGATGAAAGATCGGATGGTGAAGCATATGAAGCAGATAGCTGTCACACACCCGACCTCACGGAGTTTCTTCCTGCGGCCCTTTGATTCAATGGGGAAACGCCTCAACATCAGGAACAACCTGATACAACACCAACACATTAACATATTAGGAAACAAGTTCACGCTCTAAATTCCCAAATGTAAACCTACAAATTAACATACCAACGTGCGTGATACCAGAGCTATTAGAACTTACTTTCCACCATACAGAAGAAATCCCAGCGCTGCCATAAGCGACACAGCTGCAAATAAAAGGGAGATCAAGTTCAGTCAGTCCCGCGCTACGCAAGATAGGAGGAAAAAAAATTAATCAATTAACTATTGAGGAAGATTAGCACTTCTACACCTCCATAAAGATCACAAGAAAAATACAAGAAAAATGTTGAAACTTTTGCATCCAGAACCTACCTGCAAAGAAGAACTTAGCCACAGACATCACAAGAACGCTTGGAGACCAATACAGGTAGCCCCAGATGAAAGTCTGCAGAATCAAACCGTACGCTTATTGATATTTCAGCCCGGCAATAATATGGAGTGAAACAGGAAACAAAAAACTTCTTTAATCTATAGAAAAATAAAAATAAAAATAAAAATAAAAAATGTTTGAAAGAATCATGCACCTGAACCAAGTAAATTACTGCATTCGTAATCAAAAACGTCGGCCGTAGGCTGTCAGTAGAGAGGCTTCGGGCCTGAAATGGCAACATATATCTCACAATCAATCCCCGAATCTTATCGGCCACAAGGAACAACAGCACGATGCGCAACTTATCATACTCTACTCCCTTCTGAAAAGTTAGAAGCACAGCCGCTAACTAAATGAAGAGAAATCCTAACATACGCACCTGGTGATAAATTTCAGCCCAGAACAACACCAGAAGAGTATATGTGGTGAAAAACAAAATGCCCGGCAGGTCCAAAAGAACGTGCTGTAATATCTGCATCCAAAGGACATCACACACAATCCAGTGATTGACTGAAGCACTAGAGTCCAGATAAAATGCGAGTCACTATACGTCCATTGACTTCCACAACAGAACCAGTATCCTTTTGCTCAACGAAACATAGTTATTTACCGTTGTAATAATTCCATACATTACAAGCTTGCCTTAACAACAAAATATTTTCTAGGAACCCCAGCACTAGGATCGAAATCTCTGTAGGAGGTACCTCAGGGGATAATGCTTGCACATCCTCACGGAAGCAGAAAACCGCAGCACGCACTGCAACACAACACAACACAATAAAAGACCCCAGAAGATCAGGACGAAATAAATCAGAAATGGATTAAAAAAAACAAAAAAAAAGGGACTGAAAATCGATTTCCACAATTCTCACCTCCATTTACAATAAAGTTCAACAGATGGAAGACTTTCTGAGTAGTCCACCCGTACTCCGGAACTCTCAGTTCTATCCGTATCAGTTGCACCTGCACATTCCCAACACTTGATGTCAAGTCCATTCACAACCAAGAAGAGAAACTTGGCAGGAGATTGAGTGCTACCAAAGCAGGTATACCACAATGTGAACAACTCTGGACAATCCTCTCTGTCAAAGGGAGAACGAAACGAAACGAAACTGGAAAAACAAGGGGACACCCTCCAATTACCAGTAATCAAAATCACCCAAAAAAAGGGTTTACAGATTGAGCCTGTAATCCTCTTTCGAGATGGCTACACTTCAGGAGCAACCCTAGAATTTTCCATTCTAACCCATACAGTGTACACGACAATTGAAATCGTGAACTTTCGAGTCCGATGTAGTAAAAAGGATGGAGAGAAACAATCGAACAGAAGAGCGCGACACCAAAAGCATCTCTCTTTCTCAATACTCAGACTACTTTAAGCCTGAAGCGTATGATAGACAAACCTCAAACCAGATGACCCAAGTGAAACTTATCGTAAATCATAGATGCTATCCCAAAAGCAGGGGCATTTATTGCTCCCAACCTTCCCAGATTGAAGCGTCTAAACCCTCTTAAGACTCGAAATAAAAGAGCCAAATAGTGCACGAGAAAGACAGCGACAAACGTCTAACAAAGATTGAACACTAGGTCGTGCCAATCCCAGAAATTATACTCTCACTGAGATGACCTAAGCAAAGGCACATAATGGAAGTGGATGCTCGAAGGGAATAATGGCTCTATGAACCATGCATCGACAAAACTACCACATGACCCCCAACCCCAAAACGACGAGCTCGCCCCAACAAAAATGCGAATACGAATTCGATTACAAATTCAAAAACTCAGTAAAGAAAGTTGATCGACCAAGTCCGAAACTATCTATCACATTAATAGTGAGACCTCCGGGCGTTCTTCCATCAGATTGACTGCATGACCACAGGTTACACTGGGAATGAAACAGCAACCTGCTCCAACTGGCGGGAAGCATTTAAACCCACCAGCAAAACTTCGAAAGCACCACGAATTCACCTCTCGCGAAGTTCAAAGGCAACATCAAAGACATTCATGTGCCTGCTCATGCGGACCCACTACGCCACACTCCAACATCTACTGCAAAACGGCGAAGGCAAGCAACTCTATGTACACCAACACACGTGTGTGCATCAAAAGTCCTTTCCATGCCAACATCATGGCAAAGATTCTCCCACCCAACAGGCAAAAACCCGCATAACATGTTGTAAAAAATTAAGCAACAGACACGCTCGACACTCCCCCACCGCACGTCACATCAACAAAAAAAACTAGGGTACACTCCACAACTCTCTCCCCCCTTCACACGTACCAGCGCAATCACTGCGATCACAGCATACGCAATTGCTAGGCCCAGCCAGATGCGTTCCTGCCAAAGCACGGACGAATCCACCCGACGCCACCAATCCATGATGCCCGTCACGGCCCCATGCGGCGGCATCACCAGAAACGGACCTAACCCTGACTCCATCATGCCTCCCGGCGCCTCCAACTCCTCCTCCCACCCCCGCTCGCTCTCCAATCCCTGCCCCCCCCAAATCCGCCCCTTCTCGCTCGAAATCAAAGCCCAACAACGCTGCACGATGCGACTTTCAAACAGCACCGACGCATGATCAAAGTCGACGAGGTGAGAGCAACAACCCCAATCCTCTCCCGCTGTCTCTCTCTCACACACACTCTCTCGCTCTCGCTCTCTTCAGTGCAGTGCATATGATGGATGATGTAAAACATTACTCTCGCTCTCTCTCACTCGCATCCCATGGCAAGGGGCTGGGAGGGCGGGAGGACTGGGAGGAGCGCCTCGCTGGGGAGGCTAGTTTGCGACCTTCCTTTTTCCTACCCTCCCCCCTGACTACCGACCGGGTGAATACCCGACCGACCTCCATGTCTACCTGGCAACACGGTTGTGAGCTTTTTATAATGGAAACCGCTCTGCGTTCATACCTGCTTTTGGTAACTGGGTTTGAGAATTTGAAGGGAGTTATTGCTTCATGGTGATGGCGTTGTGTTTCTTTTCTTATTCATGCTTTCTTTTGCACCTTGATTTAAAGCAATTACATACTTTATACTTTTTTAAAATCATGCATGTTGGACTTCTTTTCTTCTTCTTCTTCTTCTTCTTTTCATTTTTTTTTTAATAATCTCCATTGTAATTTAACGTGATAACTGTTATTTTTCTGACCATAAGATGGTGTTATTCAACTGTGAGGCAATTATGATGCTTAGTGATTGAAAAGTGAAATGTTTCAAGAACCTGGAATTTCTCCAGATTTTTTGGCTTTTCAAGTATGTGATTGAGTAAAAAGAAAGAAGGAAATGATAGTCATGTTGTTATTTTTTGGGGGGTATTCATATTTTTATGTTTAATTTAATTGTGGTTGTACATAATATTTGTATAATAGCTTTACAGATTTAGTCCAGTCTATATCCAATGGATTTAATCCATAGTACCATCTATCTTGTGCATTTTTTCTCAAAATATGTACTTGGACAAAGTCAGATTGGGGGTTCTATGTAAAACTTTTCCATAATTTCCCAGTATGTATGCATTTGTATTGATAAAAGGGATGTAAAGGACATCCATTTACGTCAATAATAATGATAATAATTATTATGATTAGCATTCAACTTTCTGATCTATCTACAAAAAAGTGAGATTGCAAAATTCATCATCCTCATCATAATTAAAGTATTTGTGGTATTACACATGCATTACGAAGAATATTTCTATTTGAACTGTAAACTCTTTCGACATAAAAATTAAAATATTACAATCATATATTCCTAAATGGTATAGCTTCATACTTGAGTGCCTAGTCAATGTTTAACTTTGCATTCTACACCATTATTTAAAATAAATTTATTCAGAAAAATAAAAGTAAAACAAAAAAACAACCCCATTGTTGTGGTAGCAAGGCAAAGCCAAAAACAGCCCTGTCTTCACGAAGGAGGAGGCGGTAGTAATTGCTCACCAAACAACGGAGTAAAAGATTATCTTTCTACTCCTAGAATAAGATGGATTATTCAGGAACGTCCCACATGGCGACACCCCCACGTTATATGAATGCACTAAAGTAGAGTTTTGGGGCACTAACCTGGGCTGACTCCAGTGGCTAGTTCATTGAACTTCCTGCTCGGAAAGCATCACACATCATCCTGCACTTCCCCTTACTGACAGTAAGATTTCGGCGTTCAAAGCATGGGGAATGGTGTTACCAGGGCCCCACCAGTCTCCAGCTCAGCAAAACCCAGCAGGACCAGAGCTCTCGCCACGTAGGCCTGACTATAGTGTAGAATTCCACGTGATTTCAAAAAAGTGGGCTGAGGGCCGCGTCCAATCATCTCAATCCAATGCAAGATGCCCCAGGTGTCTACTTGCAAAGAAGCAGCTTCCATAGAGCCACCACGCCACCACCCTTCACCGTCGTACTGCGTAACCCAGAATTCGAACAAGCATCTACAGGTTTCGACAACATCAAGGTGGACTCGTGGCGGTGCGGATTGCTGATGGTGTTGGACTTCTCTCCCATGGCCAAGTCCAAGCCCTACAGGCAGATGACAGAGCATGTGAAAGCTTTCTCTTCAACGTCGTAATTCGTTCTTGCATTGTGGACCTAGGAAACGTGACAAACACTTGGCAGAAGACCTCACTTTCGCTTTCAGCCCTAGGATCAAGATTCTAGAAATTTCGAGGTTCCATAATGAGACACTTGTTGTATGCTCAGAATCGGTGAGATTTTCTGGTTTATGGAAAACAAACCACAAGTCTTAAAGGTTTAAGTGTAGATTTTGCACCTGCTTTCCTATAGTTTTTCAGAAGTCCTACAGCTCTCTGTCTCTCTCGTTCGGGAACTAATCTTTCCAGGTTCTTTTTCCTCATTGCAAAGCCAGTAATTCGGCGCCCTCGATAACATGCATAATGCAATCCACGTCTCTCACACCGCTTTTGTGATGTGGACTGATTGGGCCGATTGAGCGCAGCATATCCGAGTTTCCCAATTTGCTTGGCAATTTGATAACACAAATAATGCACGCATTATGACATGAGAAAAACACTAGACGAAATGTATTCAAGTTGTGCTTACCCTGTTAGGAGTGCCAACGAAAAAAATTGATGTTAAGAGGCTGACATGGAGTTGTACTGACCTATTCCAGGCTCTGATTACTTCGCCCTAACCATGCCTCTTAACTAAAACTGTCACAAAGCACTATATGCACATCTTTGTTACAAAAGGCAGGCGCACTGCCTCAACTGAATTCTTGGGTTTACAGCCTGATAATCGAAGCCGAGGTCCGGTCCAAAAGCAAGCGAGTCGAATAAAGAGACAAGGAAAAACGCACCCCGCTAGAGAGTGTCGGAAACACTGCTACTGACGATTATGGATGGCCATGTCTGTTGAAGAGTGAACAATGCCATCGTCGTCACCCAACTTGCACCATCTTGTTCTCACCACTCACAGAATACGAGTTTCTTCAAGATAGAATAGTTGAGAGCTCCTCGTCTTTTCAGATAGACTTTTCTCAACAACTTTGGCCAATTTTGATCTATACTAAGGTAAAATTGACTAGTGACTCTAGCTAGTAGGATTCTCTGATTAAATTGCAAAACCTCCACATCTTCAGAGGGATCAAGGATAAATATACCATTAGAAGTAATCCCACTAGATTGATAGGACTAATAAGAGCTTACAGTTGAATTTGACTATAGTCCTAAAATAATACACCTAGAAAAGAACGTTGTACACACTCATATTGCTTGTGCAGATTCCTCACAAGGTGCAGCACTTGCCGTCATTGGTAGCAAGCACCTTGTCCCACAGACACAGCATTTGACGCGGCGATTGATAGTGCGCTGTCAGGTAGTTAGGTATACAACCGGCTTGAGCAAACCGTACGCTATGCTCGTATTGCACGTACTTCATCTTTGCATACTCGCGTACCCATATACCTACGCTGACGTCCTCCATCTTAAATAACTGCGCTTTATCACAGAAGAATATCAAACTTATGTTTCATATCGTCTCCGTAGTACTGAAGAGATACATATCCACAATATAAGGTCAACAGAAAGCATCGACAAGAGGAGAAGTAAATGAAGAAAAGAAGAGAAAAAGAAAATGAAAAAGAGGAACAGGAAAGAAATGTACACGCGAACAGTTCTATAATGCAATTATAATGACAGGAGATACATGGATGGAAAACTGTCCAAGATGAAGGTTTCAATGTTGAACATGGGGCATTTAATCACCAGGACACAGCTATGAAAAACGCACCCTCAAATTATTTCTTTTGCTCTCCTCCACTATAAAATGCACAATATCTTCCGAAAGGATGTATCCTGGACCATTTGCGTATGTTGGGTAAATGCGCTCAGGCCACTCCTGTACATGCACGAACCAATCCATTTATTGTCTTGTATGGACCTTCTTACTTGGTCACCAACCCTCAAACAAGATGTTCAAGCTAAATAAAGTTAAAGCTTCCAAAAAAAAACAAGCATTTTCTAGACCACTGGAAGGCACTATTTGCACATATCTTATCTTAGTGCATAAATGTGTACAATTTGAACATATCAATTATTTTCACAAGAACTTTTGTTCCACATTCTTTTTTGGAATTCGCATAATGTGATACGGCTACCGAGCGTTTCTCAAGCATTTTTCATTTTTCTTGAGATTTCAGAAGAAATGAATAAGGCACACAATGGTTACGAAAATCTTGGATAATTTGGTACAGGGAAAATTACCTCAACTGTCACGGCCCACTTCCCAGAACGAAGGGGTCTATGAAACTCATTCATGCTGCCCATGTAAAGGCCCTGTCCTACTGACGTCGTTCGAATCTCTTCAAGAACGCTGTCAATCCTTACAAATGTGTCATCGTCACATTTCATGACGTGGCTAACTGTAACATTCTGGACCTGCATAGCAAGCAACACCGTGCTTTTAAATCACCTAAGCTTTAATCAGCATCGAACCTCACGAAAGAAATATATCAAGTTGCAGATGTCCTCACAACGTTTAAAAATATTACTTTGTAAATACTACAAATTTTAATTCGCTTACCCCAAACTTGAAAATTTCAACGGTCTTAAGAACCACTATATCATATCTGTCGATGAAAGGTAAAATTATCATATCGCCGTAATAGTCAGCCTCTTTCTTCAGCTGCAGATTGATATCCTTGTTTGCATGCTGCATCACAACCCAACAAGGGATTCATTAAAAATGGTAAGTAAGTAGTGCTGTTCAAATTCTAAGGTCTGATATACTTGGTCAATCTGGAAGGTCACTGCATCAAGACTTATAACACCAATTTTCAGCAATTAACAGCTCACTTGTTGTTTGCACTTTTTAAATATTCCCGAGTTCACGATACTTGGCACGAAAAAAGAGTATAATGACAAGTACCAGAGCTACAAAGAAGCGAGCCACCGCTTGGGAGGATTGGATAACCAGAGACTGAAACCACGTCTTTCTTACTGCCATACGTTCTGCAAAGTGATTGCTGCTTGACATGATTCCAACAAATAACTCTATCTTGCCTGTTGGTAAAGGTGGTGCCTTCCAGATATCACCCGAATCCAAAACCAACTCAGGGTAGTAGCTGGGATGTGTTAAAGGTAATGATGTTACTGTCATCGAAAGAACATCGACGTCTCCTGCCACTGATATTCCTGTTGCTTCTTCCATAGCATAACCCTGCACAATACACAATAAATAGTGCGTCACAAAACATACCACAGAAAACAGTTGCCAATTAACAAATTTGCATCCATTTTGGGATGCTCACCACACAGATACTCTTGACCTTATTCTTAAACAAAGCTAAGCCCTTCATACCCTTGAAATAGATCCGGGGTTTGTTTACAATTTGAACTCATCGGTATTTTCAAAACCCCAGCAGGTTATAACTCCTGTTAAGAGGAATTACTCTTTGGATCATATAGGTAGAGTGCAAGCAGAACTGCAAGACGGATCACATGGTTTTCTGGTGGAGAAGGAATTTAGAATTTACAATCAGATTGTTGGTGGTTGCTGTTTCTTAAACTTACTCAGACGCAGTCTGGTGTAGGTAGTGTACCTGGTGTCTGTGAGGTGGGACCATCATTGTTTCTATTCCATTGTTAACATTGTATTGTGAAATAAACACAAAACACAAAACACAAAAAAATAAAAACAAACAAAAACAATAAAACTTTAAAATATTGACGCTAAGTTTCATAGAATTGATTTCTTATCATTATGATTCAGAAAATGAAAAGGAAAAAAGAAAAACAACACACACACACACACTTGACAATGAGACCAAATATACCTGCGGTAAACCTCATCATTAGATATCAAACTAGTATTTTCAACTCACCGCACGATAAGGGAACGAACTGATGTGCCGACCATCAATAGTTAAGTGAAATCCTTCTACACCTGCTCGAATGGTGAGAACAAACTCCCGACCTTCGGACAATGGATACTCCCATTCAAGCGTCTCCTTGTCGGAATGACCAACTAATCGCCCAAGCCACCAGGATTTTTGGGTCGAAGCAGGTTTTTTGTCATCGCCTCGAAGCCACTTCTCGCACTTGGGAAGACCGTCCACTACAAAGTAAAGAATCATTTCAGTAAATACAGCCAATGTTAGAGTGCTGATTGTCCAAGCAGCGGAGACCTTGCAATGCGAAAATTAGCGAGAAGATTGATTAGGGTTACCATTTAACATGCACAGCTTTCAACACTAGTACACCTAAAAAGAACCGTGTCACTATGAAAAGATAAAGTGTGATGGAACCAGCACTCACCGGTTTCTTCGTATTCAGGTACTTGCCAACCTTCACACCGATGAGCTGGGCCCCACTGGTTTCGATAGCATGTATTATGCTCAATGATGGGTTTCCAGCTCCAGTCACCACGGAGTCGAGGGTTTATGTGGAGGATTCTAGGAGGATCTTCACCTTTTACCACCTTCAAGCCCTGTAACTCCATTATGAACTGGGACACCATGACGTATGGAGAGACACCTTCCCCAACTCTGGCGATTGGCGGTTTGTACTCCATGTGAGCTTCCCGTGGCTTTCCAATGAGAGTTATGGCTGATCCAAACATTAGACCACAAGGCAGTGGGAAGACCCTTCCTAAATTGTCCAATTCCTTTCCTGTTGTAAAGAGTGATGCTGGGCATGGATCTGCAGTTGCATTGGCATTATTGTCCTTCTTCGAAAAATGTTCTCCCTGTCTGAATGCAATTTCCAGCTCTTCCCAAGCTTTGGCGCCGGCAGACCAGGCGCGATCTATCACATCTTCCAGCGAAACAATGTCACCTGTTGTGTTCCCTGGACTACGGCGTTCCTCTTTACTGTAAGTTTCCAGAGTGACTTTTTTCAAATAGCTTGATACTTTCTTCTCCAAAACCTGTAAACGTTCCATACATGGCTTTCTTCAAACCAGAAAGAAACCTCCGACTGCTAGGAAGCCATAAAAGATCCAAGTAGAACGATCCAAGTAGAACTCAGTAAGCCTGACTGGCATAGCGAGGGCGAACCAATCATTTCTGCACTAACCTGTGAAGCTTTAGACGGTGTCTTCGTTATGTCTTCATCACCAGTTGATGGCATATCTGGCTGTCCATAGCCACTGTAACTGACACGTGAATCCTGTTCTTGATAGCGACGTCTATGTGAAGCGAAGTTAATACCTTCTAACCTATACACAGGGGAATCAATATCGGGAAGTGAATTCATTTCAAGAAACGGTGGGATGAATATCGCTATAAAAACCAAACATATGATTGCCACTATGATTAGATTGTTTCTTTGCCGCCCTGTACATCCCACACCCGGTGGTCTCACACCCCTCTTCATATTACGGTGTTTGAACCCTGTATACAACGCTAAGCTCCCTCTTTCCCAAATCAATCAGCATAACTCAACCAACATCGAAAATCTAAATGAAATTGTAGGAAATCCATGATTCTTGCTTTCTGGATCACTTGTACGCCACTCCATCGAAAATTGAACTGAGACCAATAATATTAGCCAGGCTGCAACCAAAAACATTTCTGTTGACAATCAGACTTACTCCTTTCAGCGTTTGCAAAAGGATCAAAGTGATCACTCTAATCACAAGAAGACATGTCCTCACCTCATATTTTTAACATCATTAACGAAGTCACCACCTATAAATGTACTCTGAAGGCTCAAAGTAGTGACGACACAAAGCTTATAAATGTCACTGTTTCGTAATTATTTTGAGTGTCTAACTCACCAGGTTGAAGCGGTCCTAAGCAACCTTACCCTTGCGCTGATCCTGCTCAAGAACCTCGATCACTGCTGTTAAGCCTAGTTTGGCCCTTTTAGCCCTGTACATAGAATTTGCCAACCAGTGATGAATAGACTGTTTCAAACATCATTGTCCACAGTTTGGCAGCGATAAATCTCATGCCACTGTATCGTGCCAAGAAACCCCAAGCTTCCGAGACCATATGAGCACATTTCCTGCTGCCATCCGCCACAAAATCATGCAACAAATTTGAACATACAATCATTGGAACACGAATAACATGGATATTAGAGTATCCACAAACTTTGAAAGCCCTCCCTTTGAAAGAAAAAGGTATAACATCCAATCATAGTGGACAATTAGCAAAAACTTTTGTATAAAAAAACCATCCCTTAGGGACACAGAATTCAAACAACAAAGAGAAAGAGTCGACTCATAACTAACTTGTTGAATTCGTGACCAAAGGGTAAACTTCACAATCATAAATTACCTACATTGTCACGAGTCAAAGCTGAAGAAAATGCCATCCAAAAAGATTGATGAATCATTGCGGTTTTAATAAAGATATAAACCCTGAATTGAAGAAAGAAAACGTTCAAACCTGAGAAGTTCGCAAACGTGGAAAAAAGATATCAATCTTACCTCTTTACATGCTCCTATTCACAGCGCTACTGATCACGAGCCATCTCTATTTCAAACCCCGATTTTGAGGAATTGTAAATCCACATATAGAAAATGATGTGCACGAATAAACAATCACATAGTCAAACGGACTTTCATCTACACAGATCAATAACACAATGAATTAAACTGAGAACACTGTGATCGCGCCTCCAAGGTACACATTACGTCCTAAATATGTCGGTACATACAAGTATCGCCTACAACGTTGCACCATCGATAGCCGAACTTTGAGCACGGATTGCGTGTCATCGAAGCACACCGACAGTTACTGAATGGTCAACCCCTCCCCCGACACAAACGATCCATGTTTTCTGAAGACAAAACAAAGCCTCTCTTCGCATGCAACCAAAACCAAACCCGACGCTCATCTCCAGAGCCTCCAGAGACTCCTCAACATTCGATTGCAACTACAGTCACACGGCAGGTACTATCGCCCTGAGCAAGCACAACAACCGACACAGCTAATTTTGTTTTAATTTTTAATTTTTTTCGTTTGTTCTGTGAACGCCACATACCGCGAGTACTATCATCCAAATATTAAACTACAAGCGAACCTCCTGATTATGCTCAGAAAACCTCCGCTCGCGTCCGAAACGTGCTCGCCACTGTTAGACAAAATCCAGATCCAGGAACTGAAGTGAGATTCCTCCGTCAAGCTTCGAAGCAGCGACGCAGCAACGCCTTCTGAATTAGACCTTGAACCCTAAAGTCCTCCGATGCCAACCTCATTTGACGAGTTGAGAGCATTTCCGACTGCACTAAGATCAAAATTGGACAACGGACATGACATGAAATCTTAAAACAAACTGCATCGCCCCCGAAATTAGAACTCCTCCATTTACCCCGTCTCTGTTCTTCGCATGTCAGCTCCCACTCCCTCCGAAGCCGCGCGAGTTTGTCCGTCGTGGATGAACGAATTGTATCTTTTCATCCGCTATCCTCCCGTCTAAACTTTCATCCTTGTTCATCCTCTTCTACGTTCATCCGCTTTCAAGCGGTTCGAACATTTTTCTCTCTCGTCTTCTGTTTCAACCTTCTACACTGTTCCGACGGACTTTTCCACTAAGTTCTATTTACATTTACAGTAATGAATACTGGCAATGAGGGGCCTTGCTTTGCTGTGAGAGCTATTCATACAAATAATTACTGATAAATAGGTTTTAGGGGAATGTTAAATAGACCCAAGTTTTTACTGAATCATTCTAACCATCATGAAAAGAAAGAAAAAAAATAAAAAATAGCCTCTAGATTCATTTCTCCACTAATGGATCTGCAACCAATAATAACTAATAATAATCAACTACATTCATCATGATTATCATGTTTTTCATCAAGAGTGGATCTATTTAGTAAAAGCATGGGTCAATTTAACATTCCTCTAAATTTAATATTAATATTTTATGAAAATAATTGATGTATATATATATATATATATATGTGTGTGTGTGTTCATAAATGTATATATTTTAACTAATTTAACATCATAAATATCATCACTATATGCCATTTATTATCTTGGAGTGATATATTAAAGAAAATCATTCATGTATAGTAATGTATAATATAGTAATGAACAACAATAAGAAAAAATATAAATAAAAACCATACAAATGAATTTCATTAATACTAAAAAAAATAAAAAAATAAAAAAAAAACATTTGTGATTGTAGAAATAAAAGAAAAATACAAAAATTTATCAAATACAACACAAGAATTACTTTTAAGAATGCAAATGCATGAGTTTCTTGGTTTTATTTTTTAATATAATTTAAAATTTTGTATGTATAAAATATAAAAATTAAAAATATACATATGTAAAAGATTAAAAATTACTAATAAAAATTTGTGTGTAAAAATTGCTAATAAGTTTTGAGTGCCATTAGAGGTGTTTTATACATAAATATAACTTATTTTGAGAAGTCTACATATTTATGTTTTTAATACTTTTAACAAGATTAAAAATAATAATATTAGAGTTTGATCTTTAATGTTCAATGTTTAATTTTAAATTTTTCTTCAAACTATTAATGTAATTTAAAGTTAGAAACATTCTTCTTCTAAAGTAACATATTATAAATTTCTATGATTTTATTTTATTTTATATAAGTTATGGAAAATATAAAAATTTAATGCATAGCAAATTTTATTCAAAACTAAAATAGAAACTATATAACATAAATATAAAAATAAGTATAGAATCATTGCTTGCTATATATCAACTTTGTTCATCATCACAACCAACATTCAAAATTATTATTTATAAATATGAAAATATAATACATATGTTTTTTTATAATTTTACAATCATTTGATTTTTTTTATTATAAATCATTATAAAATAAAAATGAGATCCATTAAAAATGATGAGTGAAAAGTTTTATAGTAATAGATTCTATTGAAGAAAAGAAGTCTAAAAGCTACAAACACTTAGGATTGTACTCTAAGAGAAGTGTGGAAAAAGATGTCTTTTACTTCCAACACCCTTTATTTATAGGTGGAGTTTACATCCCAAGTACATGGACTTCATCTAGAGTTACCTTCATCCTTTCAACTAGATCTAGATTCATCTTAACCTACTTGCCACCTTAAAACCCTAGCCGTCGCCATAGTATTTTCTTTTAATCCTTTGCTACCTTTTGACTATTAGCAACTTACTATGATTAATCTTCATGTAGTGGTAACTAAGTAAGAACTTGTTGATCTTCAACACTCCTACTTTGCTAATTTTCAAAAGGTTTTTAATTCTAATCTCTGAATCAAGTCATGATGTCTATCCTTCACTAATGTCTTTCTAAGCACATCAGCAAGCATCTCATTTATAATACAATACTTAATACCTATTATTCCATCTTCAATCTTCTCTTGTATGTAATGATGTTGAATATCAATGTGCTTAGTCCTTAAGTGGTGTTTTGGATTCTTAGCAAATACAAGACATCTTTGATTGTCATACATAATTAGAGTTGCTTCTAATTGCACTAGACCAATGTCTTCTAAGAGTTGCCTTATGCAACATGCTTCCATTGCACAATGATTTACTGCCATGTACTTTGCCTCCATCGTTGATCTTGTAATAGTAGGTTGTGTCTTGCAATTCTATGAAATAGATCCCATTCCAATGAAGAAGACATATCCCGTTGTGGATCTTCTATCATTTACATCTTTCATCCAATCCGCATCATAATAACCTTGCAAATCAATGTTCTTACCACCAAGGCACAATTTAAAGTCTTTTGTACCTTTTAAGTACCTCAATATCTTTTTTATGGTTGTCCAATGCATTGGTCCAACCTTAGTCATGTGTTGGCTTACAACACTTACTGCATATGCAAGATCCACTCTTGTTGCCACTATTGCATACATGAATGAGTCTATTACTGCTTTGTATGAAATACTTTGCATCTCACCTTCAATTTGTGCAAACTCCTTATCCATGAGCTTCATCAACTTCAAATTTGCCTCCAAGTGTGTTTCAATGGGCTTGCACTCTTTCATGTTGAATAGTTTCAACACTTCTTCAATGTACTTGGTTTGGCTCATTGTCATGGTCTTGTTACAATGATCTCTTACAAATTCCACTCCCAAGCAGTACTGCAACTCTTTCAAATCACTTATCTCATATTCCTTCTCTAATTTGGCCTTCATCCAATCCATCTTTTTTATATTGTTAGCCAAGATGATCAAATCATCAACATAAAGGATTACAATCAACAAGAACTGTCTAGATTGTATTACATATAATGAATAATCAGCCTTACTTCTCACAAACCCTTTATTAACAAACAAGGTGTCAATTCCTTGCTACCATATCCTTGGTGATTGTTTCAATCCATACAAGGATTTCTTCAATTTGTACACAAGATTTTTTTTTTCTTTCTTGTACAAATCCTTGAAGTTGGTCCATGTAGATGTCTTCTTACAATTCTCTATTCAAAAATGCCGTCTTCACATCTATTTGGTGTATTTCCAAATCCATTGCTGCCTCGATTGCTACAATGGTCCTAATGGTGGTGAATTTGGCAATGGATGCATAAGTCTCATTGAAATCAATTTCAGCAACTTTTAAATATCCTTTGGCAACTAATCTTACCTTGTGCATCACCACTGCATCCATTCTATCTCTTTTAGTCCTAAATACCCACTTACAACCAATACTAGATTGATTTACTAAAAGAGGTGTTAATTTCCATGTACCATTGTCCATAAGAGATTGATATTCTTCTTCCATAGCCTTCTCCCACTTTATTACATCTTCACACTTCATAGCATCACACAAAGACAATGGATTAGCAAGAAGAGCAACATTTACATATTCTTCACTTACTTAAGGGAAGATGTGATCCTTCCACCCTTCACCACATTGCCTTCTTTCTCTCAAAGGATATCTCCTTTCACTTATACAAGAACATTCACCTTGTTGCACTCTATGTTCTTTTCCAACCTTCTTCTCTCTTAAACCTTGTTGTTTCTCATTCAATGGTTGGTTTTTTTCATCATTATCATCATCCCAATCTTCAACATCTTCATTTCTTTCATTACTGGTCCTAGCAATTGTAGGAGCCTTCATCTTTTCAACCTTCTTTGGCTTTTCATCTTCATCATCTTTATTATCTTCATCTTCTTGTTTCTTTGTTGAATTCAAAGATATATCCACAAACACACCATTACTCTCACTTGGATATATCTCCAAGTGCTCACAAGTACTCTTCTCTTCTAAAAACTCAACATCATGACTTTTGATGATCTTCTTGGTTTCTAAGCACATTAGTCTATATGCCTTAGTACCTTCACAATAACCAAGAAACATACGCTTTGTACCTTTTGCATTAAGTTTGGACCTCATACAATTTGGTATTTTTGCATATGTAATACAACCAAAGGTCCTCATATAGAAAATGCAAGGTTGTCTCTTACTCCAAGCTTCTTGTAGTGTCATTGATGCAAGAGCACTTGTTGGACACCTATTTCTTGTATATATTGCATTCACCACAGCTTCCACCCAAAACTCATAGCCAAGGTTTTGAGCATGAAGCACGCTCCTTGTTATTTCTATAATGGTTCAATTTGCCCTTTCAGCAATACTATTTTGTTGTAGAGTATATGGAATTGTGGTTTGTCTAGCAATTCCTTCATTCTTCAAATAAACATCAAATTATTTAGACATGTATTCACCTCCATTGTCCATACGCACTATTTTGATCTTGCATTCACTTTATTTTTCAATAAGTGCTTTAAACTCCTTAAACCTCCAAAAGCATTCATTCTTCGCTTTAAGAATATAGATCCAAATATTTCTTAAATAATCATTAATAAAAGTAAAAAAATACCTTGATTTTTCAATACTTGTGTTTTTCATAGGTCCACATACATCAAAATGGACAATCTCCAGCAACTTGATAGTATGTCTTGCTACACTCCTTGGAAATGAGGCCTTTTGTTGTTTGCCTTGTATGCATCCTTCACATGCAAGTTGTTTTACATTTTGGCTTGTATTACCAAGATTTAAGCCACTTACCATAGACTTGAGCTCTCTCATACTCTTCACATTCAAATGGCCAAGGCAACAATACCATATATTCAACTTGTCTTGGTTTTATGTAAACTCAGCAAATACGGCTACCTCCACTCCATTCACCTTCTTACAAATGAGGTAGTACAAATTTCCCTCTTTTAAGCCTTTGAAGACCTTGTCTCCACTCAATGTTCTTACAAAACATCCATTCATGTCAAATTAAACTTTAAAACCTTCCATTACAAGTTTATCCACCGAAAATAGGTTTTGTTTCATCTTAGATATTTGAAGGACATTTTTGAGTGTGATCCTATTGGTTTGTCCATTCACAACTAC